TTTTGGCAAATGAAAGGCAGAAGTGAAGTGTCAAGAATCCATCGAGACTCCAATCTCAATTAAATGGTGTTGTTCTCAAAGCTGGCAGCAAGGAGTTCATATTTTAAAAATGTTTCTAGTAGAAGCTGATGTTTATGATTGCTCTCAGCTTTGGCAAGAAAAACACTCTTCTAAATATTTACATTTCACATTCTTTGGGACAGTTGAAAAATGTTGGCTTGCAGTTCTGCACTCTGCAGAGAGCCTGTGAGGAATGCTCGAGCAGAACGTTAGTAGCCATGCACTCATGTACTTTTGTACTTTTCTTGATCTTTGATTTACTGTGTGGTAGTTTTTTATTCTAGTTGTGTTCGTAATGCTGTCTGACCCAACTGTAGTTTCAGTCAAACAGTGTGAGCTTAGGTTTATTTTTTTAGCTAATAAAAATAAAGTCAATTCATTTATTAACAATATGTACTAATGTTACTGTCAGCATTTGGAAACTTTCCCATTTGAATGCATTCACTACACACTGTTGCAAATCTCCACAGCCTCGTCAGAAAACAGCCATTTTTCAAGAGGTGCAGTGTGTGAAGAAGAGGCTGTCTGTCTGTTCAAACCATCAGCTTGTGTTTTGCCTACAGCTGCGACTGCAATGTACAGATGTCACCAACAAAAGTAATAACATAATGTAGAACCCTGCTCAGTCACTCTGGTTTCTTGCCTTGAGCGCCTTTCTCCTTGCAGCAGGACACCTGTGTCCCACACACAGCACTGCTGGGCTCTCACAAGCCATGTCATTGCAGCCAGCCAGACCGCCTCCATCTACCTACCCTGGCACACGTTTCTCAACTTGCCCCAGCCTAACAGCATCAGGAAGAAAAAACATCAGTGCTGGCTTTATTCCTCACCAAGAGCGCTGTTTTCAAAGCAGTATTTTGAAAGTATAATTAAATCGTAGATGAGAGGTATATAAATATACTCAGTGTGCTCCCCATCGCACAAATCACATAAAGATGTGTTTGAGTCTTACTGACATAGCTAAATGAATTGCTAAATTAGGACAGATGTGTGAGATATGTTGAAGTCCTAAGCACTGCCAACTGGAAATTGGTGGTACCAAGGAACAACAGGACTGTCAAATATGAGAACGCATCTTCATGTATGCAAATAATCTCACAGCAGTGTTGCAATCAGTGGGAGTCCCCAGGACTGACTGCTCCTGTTGGCAAGCTCACTCACAGTCTGGGGATCTGTAAAATCAGGCTTGGTGGTGTGTGCTGGATGCCTGTTTGCTCTCAGTGTTGTTCAGTTTACAAAGGTGTGTACAGTCTCTGTCAAGGTGTGTGTAACTACAAGCACAACAGCACCAAGTCAGCTGCCTCAGGTCTGGGCCATTTTGCTGTTAGCTGAAGACATGAGGCTGATTATGTGGCTTGCTCTATGGTACTGGGATAAAGAATGAAATTTGCAGTGTGTGCCTTGCTGGTAGCTGTAGTAGAGAAATCAAGGCAAGAGAATTTTGCAAGCAAATAAATGCATTATTTACAAACTGTATGTGTGAAGTCTTAGTTGCTGTTCTTAATTAGGCAACAACACAGACTGTATGCGTATGAAGCCAGGAGAAATTCCAGGTGCCCAATAGCAGTGGACTCATTTCAAGTCAAGAACCTCAAACCAAATAAAGTAAATAGAAGCTTGAGGTGCTCCATGATTAATTTCAAGGCAGATATTAAAAATGAAGTATCTGATATTGTTGAAGGCTTTGAAAATTATAGTCCAGTTGACAGGACAGTGACAGGATAAAGCTGAGGAATTCCTGTTCTCATAGACAAGTCCCCTCAGAACACCTTGTTATCAATAGCTAATCTGTATTCAAGATGTAGCAAATGTAGATCTCTATAGGAAACAACGAAGACATTGCAAATCATAACCTTAATGGAATCCGTGTATAGCCAGTGTCTTGAATAACTCTAGTAACTCTGTATAAAGAAATTAAGGGAGCAGCTCAGAGTGGGTGGGAAGCAGTAGTCAGCAGGCTGGATAGGAGGAAGGGAAAAATAACAAGGCATTCAGTTCCCAGGAAGGGCCAGCAGGTGTATTTACAGAGATTTACAGAGATCATACATCTCCCAATTAGATCTAAACCCAGAGGAACCAATGGTGAAACATCCATTGCGTCTGGCTGTGGTGAAAGACAATTACAAATGCATTTATATTGTACAACCTGATTCCTAGGGAATGAAAGTACAGAGAACTTCACGTAATTGCCAAAAAAAGGATAGAACATGATGTATATTCAGGACTGGGACTAACATGGATATTCTTTGAGGTTTCAGGGAGGATAGCCTAAAACATCTTCCTGTAGTTTCAAAACTTAAGCTAGAAATGAAATAATGTTCATTTTTCTTTGTTTATTTCCTCACAATCTAGGGTTTTACTATGAGGCTTGTCTGGTGTTGGGATTAAAGCAAATTAACAAAGGTACAATGTTACAGTTCCACAGAGATCACAGACTGAGTCAAAGAAGTACATGTGGGTAGCCCTGAGAACCTGTACCTCTCAGCTTCATGGGATTCTGCAGGTGGGAGTAATTTCTGCCAGACTGCAAAGAGGCAGTGGAGGAGCTGAGGCTGCCAAGTGCCAAGCTTTTGCAAAGGCGGTCCCCTTGGTAGGCACAAACAACTTTCTGCGAGGCACAGAGACTCCCATAGCTTCTTTAAGCTTTACAAGCAGTAGAGCAAAGTCATACCACGATTTAGTGACAAAGCTGAAAAGAATCCAGACTGCTGGCTCCCTGTCCTAAATGCCAAATGTAGTCCTGCCTTCTTCTCTATGATAAAAGCACAAAGGAAAATATTCTAAAAGCTTTCAAGAAGCAGGGTGGATTTTGCTGTTAAAAAGAGCAAATATTATCAAATGGTCAGAGAATTCCACAAAGCAGCATAACAGCTACTATTGCAAAACTCTGGGGGATCTCTTCTGTGGTACAGAGTTATTCAGCAACTCAGATTCATAGCAGTATTTCTTCGTCCTCTATGGTCATAAATTCTTTTGCCTGTTATGGCAAAATTCAGTACGCTCATCTCATTTGGCTTCAGTGTGATCCAGACCTTGCCTAAAATTTAACGTTTTTATTGTCTTTTCCAAAGCACATTTATTTATGCTGCATTTGTCAGGTTCACTTCTTTCTTCATTAGAAGTTAATCACAGTGCCCTTAGCACTGCTTTAATGTCATGAGAATCACACTCAGTAGGGTGCATCCTATGACTGCCTCAGAAATCTCTCCCTGTGGATATTTTGTCTACGTGAAATAGTCTGGTTCCAAGTATTCATCTTTGCCAAGAAGAACAATGTTACCAATTATTTCTACAGTGGAAAATAAATCAGAACAATAATTTGTTTTCTTGCAGTTGGTTGCACATATTCTTCATCAGGAGAAATTCAGCTTTGAGTTAGAAAACTTTCCTTCCAGCTTCCTAGCCTATTCTGTTTGTGCAGGATTCATGGTATGAATAAGTTATCTTACCTGGGAGGTAGGAATTGTTCCAAGTTCATACCTGCTCAAAACGTAATTCAGTCTTATGCAGGAGACTGGCATAAAGCCTATCTACAAAGGATCTCCAGCATTATTACATACAGCATGGAAGAGTTAATAGTGACCCAGTAAAGAAATCAAGAATTTGAAGGTATTTTTGCAGGGAGTAAAGATCTGTCATTAGTAAAATGAAGTGAGAGGAAATTACGGAAAGAGCATTTCCGATCACGCAATCAATGAAACATGGAACAAAACTCCAGGCACAGTGGCATCTGTGAGTATTGCCATGGGGAGAGGGCACTACAGATACTTCCTCAGATAAGAGCATATAAAAATTCAGTGCCTGAGCTCAGAAACCCAAGCGCTGACCTTAAAAATACAGTCGGTTCATATTCATGGATTGTGAGATGAGTAGCTCTAGGACTTGGCTCTCATATTCTGCAATTCATCAGAATAGTTCAGGTGTGTAACTGCTGCAGAAGTACCGGAAATCTGAGCAGACGTACACGCAGGTTGGATGGTTACGCTGCTGCGCACACGGCCGTGGAAACCCGTGGCTCCTGTGCGTTTCTCTCCGCGCGGCGCAGGAGCGCAGAGGCGTTGTCCGAGGTGCTGAGTCCTCCCAGGTCACTGCGAAGCCAAAGCTGCAGGTGCTCCTCGCCGCTGGAAATCGTGTCATTGTCTCAACCATCAACAAAGTCTTGTTAATAAGATTTGCAGCTGGTATCCAATGAAATCTCGGATAGCAGTCAGTCAGAGTCCTAAGCAACTAGTAGTACCTGTTTTTCTACAAAATTAATACATGCAAATGCTAACTGTTCTAAATTCATGTAACTCACCTGGAAAGATCTGTGGTTTTTATTAAAACAGAGACTATAAATAGAAAAGGAAACATATGTCCACATACCTAGTGTTCAATGAACCCCACAGTGTGGACAAGTTTTTGCAGGGCTGAGTATGCAGTAAGATAGTTAGCAAACTGTCGTTGTAACCTTCCAATCATTATAAGATATATTAAAATGCTTTCTAAGCATGTAGCACATTAATGACTACTGAAGCAACTGCAGCCCATAGGCTGGACCCTGAACACAAAGGAGATGAACACTGCTAAATTGCATGGTGGGGATATGAGACTGAGACACTCCAAGGAAGTAATTCTGTTCTTGGCCGGTGAAGGAGACTGGCAGAGAAGAACATAGCCGAGTTCCTCATTAATACAGAGGCAGTGAGTCTTGATATGTGTCCAGTGCCCACTCACACTACAGAGTAAGAAGCTGTGTATTGCACTGAGGCTTGGCGTTATTTCTGTTTTTCTCTTATCCTGAGGACAACAGCTAGCTATCCAGACCTTGAGCAAACCTGTTGCCTGACTGCTCAGCACTGAACAAACCATGCTCCTCTTGAAGCTGTGGCTGTAGGAGACAAATGCGGATTCCTCTGGAAATCTGCCCAGATCTCAATGTGAGTATGGAAAAGTGTGTCATTGCTTGCACTGTGTGTTTGTGTTCAAACTCTCCGTAGCGTGCAGTTGCAAAATTTTTTGTAGTGAAACTGATGTGAGATTAAAAGGATCTATCACATAACTAGGCATCATCTTGGTAATGAATTATAGATGGACAAGTCTCAGAGGCTGAAAGATTTTGAAAAATTATGCACTTGCCTCCAAAAGAAAAGGAAAAAGTGTTTATAAGGACAATACCATTGTTGTACTGTAAAATATCTAGCAGAAGTAACTCAAAGGGTAGACTGCATTCTGAATCTAGACTTCTCTGGTGGCTGAGACATATGTCACCTTCTACACTCCTCACTAGCCTGGCAGCAAGCAGTTGCAATATGCCACTATGGTAGAGCCACTGCCTGCTGTCTGCCCAGCCTGGCAGGGTCCAAGCAATGATGCTGCTCTATGCCCCTGTGGGACTGCAGTAAGAACTACTCAACTGACCTCCATAAATGAATGGAGCAGCCCTGCTCGGAGCAGCGTGCATCTTCCTGGAGCTGTACACAAGAAAGGGCTCCATCTGAGTCACCCTCCTAATTTGAGTACCCCTTTACATCTTAGCAGTAATAGTTGAAAGCCATCAGAGCCAGCTAGAAAATCCTTGTGTCTGTGTTCTCCCATGCAAATATCTCTTCTCCCTATATATTAGTTACCATGTGTGGGTTTTCTCTCTCACTCTCTCTTGCCATATGTGTGGGAGTTGATGGCATCAACTTTATGAAATCTCAGCGCATGCCAAGAACAGCTGGAGAAGTTGAAACAAGTTCTGGGTGAGGTGAGTTTCATGGGCTGGGCAGGGACTAAAATTATCAAAAGTGCTGTGGCTGCTTGCCATCCTGGGAGCATCACACAGAGCACATGGTTTCAGCCTGCTCCAAGAGCAGATTCCCAATGGAAGAAAAGGATTTGATTTAGATTTAGATAGTGATGCCAGAGATAGCTGAATAGGAGAATTTGTTTGCCAGGAGAGACCATCTATGCACCTCTTCCATGACTGCTTCATTATGTAAATGTAAGAATGCAATCATAGGTCCGAGGTAATGAATATCTTTAGCCAGCATGTAGCACTCTATATCTTCAAAGCATTTCACTAATGTTAATAATTAATCACCACAGCACTTTGGGAAAGTTATCATCTTAATCAATGGGTAAACTGAGGCACAGATTTAAAGTATCCCAACCTGCCTGTGGCAGTACACTTGTGTCCCAGGCTACTGCTCAGTTATACTGCATGGTCAAGATACCTGATATACTCCATGATAAGGGACAAACCAGAAGGATATCCCAGGATGAAGGAAATAAAGCTTCCTGCTCAAAGCAGAGCCTGTTGGTCACCAGCTGCTCTCTACAGGTCTTGGTGCTTGCAAAGCCAGGATGGTATAATCCCCTGGTAACATCCACAAGACATTTCTGTAGTTCCTCAGCATTATTCCTGACGCCATACATAAGCCCTGCTTAGCTGTGATTCAGTTATCTACATCTTCTTTTATATAGTAATTTTAGAATATAAAGAACCAGCGAAACATCTGATGAATTTTAGTGTTATAAATCACTACACTTAACAACTAACATTTGCTTTTGAAGTGATTTGTAGATCCATTTCAGGAGGATTTCCTGCTTTTGACTCAATCTTTTATTCGGGAGCATTTGAATCTGCTTCAAAGTTTGGTCTTAAGTTGTTGACTTTCTGTAATCAAGTCTTGCTAAAGCTAAGCACTGCTTTTGCCTTATCAGTTTCTGCCACTAGTTCCATCTGGACATCTGCTCTGGGTCATACATTATTGCAGGTATGCTATTCCCTGACAAACCTGGCGAGAGTTGTGAAAGAAGCGACGTCCCTGCCAATTCAGAAAATGAAGCTTCAGTGCATCTTGCTAAAGACAGAAAAATGCATTGTACACCTGACAGAAGTTGCTTGTCTTGAGACTTCTCGAGAACAATCTGTCAAATGTAGCAGGCTGTCATTAAGAACAATTAAACTAAACTAAAATCCCTTTTTCTCTTATTTCTGCCTAGTCAGGTGAATATTAAATACTTGATTTTCCAGGGGCACTGGGAAGAAGAGGAAATCAGCATCTATGTTTTCATTCAAACATGTGTACGAAGGAGCAAGTACAGATTTGCCTTCCTATACCCAAAGCATGCATGTAATTAGTATGACTGCACAGATAGACCTGTCTCCGTGAGCAGTCACCTGCATGTCAGCAGAGTGGTTGTCTCTACAGAGACAATGCATGTGTGTGCTACGCTGGCATTTAAACATACAAAAACACACATTTTCCTGGTAAACTGGATTTGTGAGAGCTGCTGTTCTGCTAACCTCACATCCCAAGAGCTCTGTTACTCGTTAGGACAATACTGTACATTGAGCATACAGATTTTTGGACCTGATTAGTTTAAACTTGTTGCTTGTGATGTCTGAACTCCCAGTGTCACCAGCATGGGTACAGTTCTTTCCTCATCACTCCCAAATCTCTTCTGTGATTTCCAGAAGTGGAGGCAAAGAAAACCCTCAGCTCCTTAGAGGTGGGAGCTTACCCCTGGGGGGAAACAGGGAAGCTGACCTCCAGTACATTCACAGATTGCATTTATTTTAAAAGGCACTTAGCCATGAGGCTCAGCCGATGGGCCTGCTTCCTGCAGGCACACCCTGCTTGTGGCTGTGAAGGTACTCACTAAGCACTAGTAACACCCAGCATTTATATAGAGCTTTTCATCTTCAAAGCACTTCCCAAACATCATTTAATTAACGAATCATCACAGCCCTCTGTGAGGTATGCACAGTTATTACCCCCACATTTTATAAGTGAGGAAAACAGAGGCAGCGATTAGCTGAGACAACACTGTGGGAATTGGGATTAGAGGTGAGGAGGACAGCCTGGACCCCCACTCCATGATCTGAGCATGAGGGCCTCCCTGGGGGGTGGTGCGAAGCCTCAGGTCAGTGCAGTGTCCCAGTAATTGGTGCAGACCCTTGGGTGCATCAGCAACATCTCTTCCTTCCACACCCACATATGCTTTCCGTGTGGAGCATGAGGAAAAAAAAGTTTTCTTCCTTCAGTATCAGCTCCAGATCCTGCTGCCGCCCAGACTGAAGATCCAATGAAAGACATGAGGAGGAGATTTCAGAGAAGGATGGCTTCTACCATATAGCACTGCCTAACAGACGTTCAGTTTTAGTGCCTTCACAGTCCCACAGGACGGGACTTTCACCCAGAGATCTCAGTGCACCCTAAGGACACAGGGCAGTGATGCAATCCCAGACCAGTAGGCTCTCAGTGCAGGCTGTCAAACCCACTAGGGCCTGGCCTCAGCTGCAGAGCCGATGATTCACGACCCTCAGCCCACATTCACGAAAGTTCAGTGAGTTTCACTCCCATCCTCAGCGGCTGCGGGTTCCTCCCTCACGAGGCCCCAGGCTGTCCTGGTCCCAGCTAACACTGGGAGGACAGAGCAGATGTCCTGCTCTGATGGCAGCCAGTGGGGTGAGAGAGGGCACCAGAGATGGGGTTAAACTTGGATGGTTCAGTCTCGTCAAACTTGAACATCCGAGAGAACCTGTAGGGCTTGGTTCCTTTCCAGCCCTCCAGGGCTCTCACAGCCCTAATTACTATTGCTGTTGTTGTTGTTGTTATAGCAAAACATTCATATGCTGTCATAAAATGCAAACTAGATAATACACGTTTCTTGCCTGAAGAGCTCAGGCGTTCTACAGGTTGGACATTCTGAACTGGATCCCTGGGGAAAAACAGAGGAGGTGCAGCCCTTTCACAGCAATTTCCCCTCTCAATTCCTTTCAAGTGCAGCTGGATGGGGAAGGGCTTGGGATGCAGCAATAAGCAGGTGGGCAAGCAGCATCAGGTGCAGTGTGCTCCTCCAGCTGTACCTCAGCTCACATTTTGATACCCAAATCCCCTGATTCACAAGCAGGGCATTTGAGGGAATGAGATGTTGCTGTGGGTGTGCTCCATGAATGAGCTGGGGTCCAGAGCTGGGACTGCCACTTGTGAAGCATGCTGAGTTCTACAGGTGCTACAGGGGATTGCTGTCTACTGCAGGTCGGCAGCACTGCCTCTGTGAGCCAGAGCTGTGCGAACACCTGCGGAAACGCAGTCAGAACTCCTCCAGGCTGCTGCTCCTACCATTAACAGGTCTTGTTTCAGAGGCACCATTAGCTAAACCGAGGTAGTGGAACTCTAATACTTGAAAGTAAATAGGAACACTGGAACACATGGTGCATGATGCCTACGCACAGTTAACTGCTGGGGAATCTGTGGCTCATAAATACTCTTCTGACTGAGATCAAAGACTTTTCTGGCCTGCACGGTCCCTTCTGTTCCCTCCTGACAGCATTTCCCAGTGAAATCTGAAATGCCATGAGATACTGAGCCAAGGGAGAAGTGGAGAATGTTGCAATTCCCAAGCTGTACTTTCAAATGAAATAGTAATAGTTGCAATTAATGATAATCTCTAATGAAAAAAAAATCCCTGCTGATTCCACTATAGACACTTCAGGTAGTGCTAGGGTGTTAGGTAGACTTATTCAGCCTCTGGACGGACTCACCCACAAGGCTCAGCAGCAACATGCCCTGTATATACCTAGCATCAGTTTGAACAACAACTGCACCAAAACCAAAGACAAAGAATATTTTAGGTCCTTATTTTTGTGTCTATGCACCAGAGAGGAATCTTTGGATGGTTTTTACCAGCTGAAGACTCTAAGATAGAAGCTGTTCTTTCAACTAGATTCATAACTCATAAAAACCAACGAAACCACCACCACTACTGACAACAGCAGTAAGAAAACAGACAAAACAAAACTAAAATATATTTACACTGAAGGAAACATTACTCAGAAGTGTTGCTGTTTTCATTCCCTCCAGTGCTCTGTGTTCCAACTAATTCATTCTAATGTTCTCTCACCATTCGGTCACAAAGACATCGAGCAGACATTTTTAAAATGCTTCATCTGATCTCTCTTAGACCTGGCATAAACCCAAGAAAATAGTCAGGACACACCTTATGTATTATTCAGGATGCAATGATAATGTTCTGATTACTGTTGAACTCCGTAGCAATTCCTCATTGTCTATAAGGCGATGGGGAAGCCTCCCTGGACACCCATGTAAAGGTTCACATCTCACTGCCTAAACTGCAGCACTGCTCATACTTCTCATCCTTTCCCTCCAGGCTCCCAGTCCAGACCCCAGCCGAGCTCTACCCTGTCTCTAGGGAATTTGTTCATACACGTGCACACATATATTTGTGACTCATGTCTTAACTTTTCAACATTCACCCATCTCTTATGCGCAGTCCCTCGCAGCCTGTTCCATTCTCTTCCTATCTCTTCCCACCTCTCGGAAGTCACCAAAGGAGCCCTTTTTCCTAACTGCATTGCCCAACAGCCTCTCACTGCTAACAAGCCAACACTTACTGTGAAGGAGACATCTGATCACAGTCCTGCTGCATGCTGTTACATGTCAGCAGAGTGGTGCAGCATTTGTTTTTTCCCATTTGCAGTACACAGAGAAGATGACCCAGACGAAACGGCTAATTTATAAGCTAGTTCCCCTTGGTTTATGATTCCTGCCATAGCAATAGCTGTTAGTCAAGCACAGCTTAAGTTCAACTCTGACATTAACTTAAACACAATTAAACCTTGGCAGCAAACATCAAGAGCACTGTTTCTCCTGAATGTGATAAGGCTGACTGTTAGGACAGGCTTTACATTCACTCCTTGACTTTAGCAAGAGTTAGATCAAGCCCATGCAGACTAATAAAACAAATGGCACTGTTGGCATTAGCAAGTGGAGCTCCTTCAGCATCACTTGATTTCTGCCTCACTAAGCCAACCGGGATGTTGCCCTAGATTACAGAATTGGCTGAGATTTTACTCTTAGTTTTCTTTACTTCAGGGTATCAATTCAAATTACAATTAGGGAAGAATAACAAGGCCAAATTCAAGGCACATGGCCTAACTCTAAGAGATGGTGTCTGGGAGGCTCGGAGTTAGAAACACTCACATGGCCGGACCAGGGCAGCCAGCTGTGCGTGGATCCCACTGCCACTTGGGTCACTGGGATCTAGCCTAGCCTTCCTCCTGCTGCTGTCCTTCTGTTGCCTCACTGCCCTTCTCACGTACTGTTTTCAGTCTTGCTCTATCTTGTTCCACTTTTGGAGCTGACTTGTGTGGCTCAGATGGAACCCTGTTAGACATTGCTGGGGTTCACAGTGACTCAGGTTATGAAGTCAGATGGCCTGGACAGCTTAGGTCCAACCCAGGCTACCCTCACCCCATAGCCAAGAGCCAGCTGGGCCACATGCACCACTTAGCAGCCAGACACTTGTTCTCCCATTCCTCACCCCTTATTTTTCTGGCTATCTGTTTTTCTGTTGTTACCTTTATCACGAGAATAACTTAACCAACCTGGCATACCAGCCTGATGTACTTAGCAGACTGCAGCATGACTCAGTACAGAACTCTTCCTATGTTTTCACACACAAACACACTCCGTGGATGAGAAATGTAAATGAATGAAAAGGGTACATGATGCATCATGGAGATTACAAAACCCCGAGGAGTCAGCAGATTGGAAGGTCCCCCACAGAACAGGTCCCCAGTCTCCATCAAAATGCCCCACTCCTCTTCTGATTTGGGCAGTCTTACGTTCGCAAAACACGCAAGACTTGTTAAGCTATGCACAGAAATAGCCCATGTTATTAAAACTCCTGAACAAGTGTATTCTATTAGCAATACTTTGGCCATTCCGAAGTCTCCCTGAGAGTTATCCATTCACAAGGAAATTCATCTCATGACCAGTGCATATTACACCACCAATTAAGCTGGGGCAAATATTTTGAAAGTGATCCATAAGCAGAAACATATTTGAATTAACTACTCATTGAAGAGTATTGCACACAGATATATCTTACCCAGAGGGTGAAATGTGAAAAAATCATCCAGGTGCTAAAACTATTATATTTAAGAGTGA